GAAATAGATATAGAGTTATATATAAACATATGTATATGCATATATAAATGATCAGGATGATGAGTCGAGTTGACTGTCTGTTCGTCATGAAATGATGAATGATTGTGATGAAACTTGTTACAGGTGTTCGTTTGCCTTCATGAGAGGTTTGTATTGCAAATGGGCGAAATCGGGCCATTGCCACGCCTACAAATGCCATTAATCGAAAACGTATAACTAAGCTCAACAAACAGGTACAAAACTGTAATTTAGTACAACGAATTGCATTATTGAGGGGCATCTATGATTTAAAAAAAATTTTATTGTACATATTTCCCAAACCTCTTTAGCTAAATCAACCAAAATTGCTCTGGACAATCCTTCTCGGGACCCCCTGCGACTGTGTAAAAATTATTGAAATCGGATTATTACCCCGCTCACTCCCCATATAACGGTTATGTTGCAAACTACTTAAAGTGCGATAACTCAATAAATAAATGCGTTAGAGACACAAAATTTTGCACCCGAGATATTACAAAAAATATATATAAAAATTCATATCTCCGAAGCAATTTAAACCGAATTCGGTAGGTAACATTATCTTTATATTACGGTGTGAAAATTGGCGAGATAGAGCCATAACCATGCCAAATTCCCACAAAACATAATTTAAAATTCTCTACGATTCTTTCATTTTACAGTACACAAATCAAGCACCAATGAATATATTGAAAAAAAACTTTACCCCGCCCCTATATATCCATTATAAAGATTTTCGAACATTTGTTTGACTTTATACTGTATATACCGGCCCATTTGTGAGATATCTTAAACAAATTAAAATAGCATCTCTCTAATAACAGTATGCTTTGTGCCAAAATGGATCAATTCGCGTCAATACTACCTCTAGCCCCCATGTGCCCAATATAAGGATTACCAACTTCCCCCTTTATACCGTATATATCGGCCAATTTGTAAGATAAATATTTTAGCGTTTTATATTATATTTTAATGCAGAAAATGTATAAAATTGGTCAACGAATTACACCAACTGCAATATAGTACGCATAATGATTTTCATTATTTTAGTCAGAGTGTGTTCTCTTTATGAAATTGCATGGAAACATGTTTCCGTCTATACTTGAGTAATGTCACAAGTTAACATAATCAGCCCAGACCTTATAAATGTAGTTTAGTGAGAATAAGAATGAAATTGGCTTAGACGTTAGTTTAAGCTCCAAATATGGAATCTTTCACCCTTTCATTGAGCAATGAGTATTGAATGCTTTCGCTACATTTTTATACTCTCGCAACCTGTTGCTACAGAGTATAATAGTTTTGTTTACCTAACGGTTGTTTGTATCACCTAAAACTAATCGAGTTAGATAGAGGGTTATATATATATAAATGATCAGGATGAAGAGACGAGTTGAAATCCGGATGACTGTCTGTCCGTCCGTCCGTCTATCCGTCTGTCCGTCCGTCCGTGCAAGCTGTAATTTGAGTAAAAGTTGAGATATCTTTATGAAACTTGGTAGACATGTATCTTGGTACCGTGAGACGGTTAGTATTGTAGATGGGCGTAATCGGACAACTGCCACGCCCACAAAACGCCATTAATCAAAAACAAATAAATTGCCATATCTAAGCTCCGCAATAAGATACAAGACTGTTATTTGGTACACAGGATCACATTAGGGAGGGGCATCTGAAGTTAAATTTTTTTTAAGTGGGCGTGGTCCCGCCCCTAATAGGTTTAATGTGCATATCTCCCAAACCGCTAACGCTATAATTACAAAATTCACTGGAAGCAAATGTTTTTAGAACCTCTACCTACAGTATGAAAATAGTTGAAATCGGGTGGCAGCTCCGCCCACTCCCCATATAACGGTACTGTTTAAAACTACTAAAAGCGCGATAAATCAAGCACTAAACCCGGCAGAGACAAAAAATTTTATCTCTGGGATGGTATGAGATGACCTAGGAACCGCGTTCAAAATAAGTCAGTGGGCGTGGCTCCGCCCACTTTTAGGTGAAAACTCATATCTTGAGATCTGCTTAACCGATTTCAACCAAATTCGGTGCATAACGCTCTTTTCATATTTCTATGTTATAGTGTGAAAATGGGCGAAATCTGACTACAACCACCCCTATTTCTCATATAACACCATTTTCAATTCCATCTGATTCTTTCACTTTCCACTATGCAACAATGATTATATCGGGGTAGAACTTTGCGTGAATAATACGTATAAAGTATGCCTCCTTGTGAACAAAAATTGTCTAAATCGAACCAAAATTGTTCAAGCCCCTAATTACTGAATATGTGGACCCCAGTGCCTATATTTGACCTTCTACCGAAAATATCGGTCAATTCACAAAGAAATCTCAAACGAGTATACCATTTGCTTTGCGAGAGTATAAATTGTTCGGTTACATCCGAAATTAGCACTTCCTTTATTATAAAGTTGTGTCAACACCTGAAAGTATTTCCTCGACTTTGATTCTAGCGAGAGTATAAAATGTTTGGTTACCCCGAAATAAGCGCTTCCTTACGTGTTTTATTTTAATTATTTTCTTATTCCGGTAATTAAATATAGCGATACACAAACACCAAATATAAATATATGGTCCACAAGACCAATAAAAATTCATTTATTTTTTCATTTTCCATTCAGCTTAGAACTTTTATGGTCACAATAAATGAAGGAAAAATGGTATCATCTATGCAATAAATATTGCTTGTTCAATTTTCTATATATGGGTTCTTAGGTATAACATGGAAACTTCTTCCATACTGTTACCAGATTTTACAAGTGCTTCTCTTCATGTGAGGATTACAAACACATTTTTAACTCGATTAACCGAGATTTGGATCCACTATGTATTGCAGAGTTTTAGTGACGCAATCAAAACTAGCGACCTTGGCGGTACGATAAGTTCATAAACTTAATAGAAAGTTTCTAAATATTGCGTCGGATTGTCAAGCCTTTTAAGATCAGCCTTATTGGTCTTGCTTTAACAGACAAATTTTCAAATACTTTTTGATTGTAATCGTAATTGTGTGTGCCGAGTTGCATTTACAAAATTTTTTAAATACTTTTTTTTACCTTTATTAGTAATAAATAAAATATGTCTGTAAAATATCACTATACATATGTATTCATGTCTGTATATCTGTAAATTTCCAACAGCTCACATCAAACTCAAATCTAAATATGCCGAATCAATCTAAACATGCAAATCTTCCCAAGAATATAATTTATAAATTTCAATACACTCTTGCATATAAGAATACCATGGGTGTATATAAAAATATTTCAATTAAACAGAAGCTGGACTACCGCAAATTTATTTGCAGCCATCAATTGTAAACAAATCAGAAAATATAGTAACTTATGGCATTCGTAGATTTTTCTAAAATAATAAGTGAAATTATACATATGAACATGCATTTCATATGGATAAATATCAACGCACATATTTAAATTTGCTTTTCGTAACAATAACAAACCATTCAAACTAGTTTTCTCTTGCTCAACGCAATTTCGAAAATGATGTTCTCTTAACACTACGCCGCAGCACTGAAGAGAGTGGCGCAACTCCCTTGGTGTATTTATTTCTGCCATATGAAGCTGCTGTGGAAAAATAATACTTAAACTCAAAATATAACTTAGAGCACAGTGAAGATTAACACCAGGCGTGCTCTCTGAGAGCGAAGTTATGTTCGAATTTTCGATATAAACAAAACGTAAATGCTAGAAACTCATACAACCGGGGTGAAGGCGGTTAATAACACAATCGAAATGTACACTGGGAGAAATAACTAAAATGACGTAAAATAAATGTGGCAGTAGCTGTGTTGCTCGTGTTTTTGTTGCAATGTTAAAGGCAAAGTAAAGCGCTGAACGGTGTATTTCATAGCTTGCAAATGTGTATGCATTTGTTTGCATTTTACTCTGAAGCTCCTAAAGATAAAATTCCTGAATTTTTTGGTATTGAATTGCACTTCTAGGCTGGAATAGCACAGCACCTGAAAAGCACGATATTGATATGCTGGCATACAGATAAGATTGTGTTTTTCACAAAATGTTGAGAGCTTTTGTTAAACTTTTAATGAAAAGCTTTGTAGTAAAAGACATGACTTTGCATAAAAGGCTATAATAAATTCCAAATTATTAATGAAAGATAACATTAGAATTAAAAGCGCGCATAGCGCCCGGCAAGCGCTATCTTTACGCTTTCCAAAAATACAACGCGCTCTAATTTATGCCATCCGTTAAGCGCCTTGTGTGAAGTGGCCTTTTCAGAGCTTTAATATAAAGTGTAGGCTATTAAGAGACCGTTATAAAATATACTTGTCGAGGTTTACTGAATTTCAAGAAATTCTGCAGAGATTTTATGATGATTCGATGATATTTGGAGAACCGTGGAGCAGCGTAGTCGATGGCTAAGTTCTTTGAGTAAAGGGTATTAAATATTATTTATTTGTCGAATTTCGCGAGTGTAAAAATATGTTAAGACCCGAATTGTTCATCAAGAAGGTCCATATATGTTTAGCGAAATGCGTACATAATTTTTTGTAACAAATCCCTCTCCTTATATTATATATTCTAAACATTTCTTTACATCAGTTCTTTGATTAACCGCTACGTGTACTCACAATTATTACACTTGGCCGAGCAGCGCGCGTACGTTTTACTTTTGCCGCCTTGTGCTTTGGTGTGCCGCCAGCCAACTTGCTAGCTAGCTTGCTAGCTCCCCAGCTACCACCAACAAGCGCTTTTGTATACCATGCCGATTGCCGCCTTTTGGAGTCAACAACAACAACAATAAAGCAAACATACCAACAATGACTTGCTATGACCAGAGAACGCCGACGCTAAAGCCAGCAACAGCGACGACGACAACAACAACGCCAGTGTAGTAGCAGCGCTGAGAAAAACGAATACATCACAAGCAGCAGCCGACAAGCGTGGCGTAGTGTAGAAGAGGTTTGTTGTTTCAAACGTTGCTACAGTGTGGTGCCCGTTCAGTCAGTGGTCGTACGTTGAACGTAAAAGTTATAATGTTAGTGATATGAAACGGATTTTATACGAAAAAGGGACGGTTAAAGGCTGAAAAATAAACGGAAGTTCCGAGCGAGATATTCGGAAGTAATGTGTTTTTGTGAATTTTGCGAGGAATTATAAAAAGCAGAGCGAAAGTGTTGGAATAAAGGAATTAAATTTAAAATTTTATTGAAAAGTGTTATGATATCGAATCAAATGTTATTTTGGAGATCTATAGTGAAAAAGTGTGAAAACAAAAATAAACAGCAAACTTCAGCTGTATGTAAATAACATGCTAGAGCGTCACGATTTCTTAAATGTAAATTAAAAATACTTGAAGTATGCCAAAGTGCTAAAGCATTGGACGGATGTAATTTCCATAACCAATGAATTTCCTGTGTCGGACCATTTGAGTGCTTTGTTTTTGTGTCGGTAGTGCTTTGCGCATACTATTGTCGCCGAAAAAATAAAGACGAGTATAAGCAAAAAAAATTGCAAACCTACAACAATAAATGTTTAAAAATATGCATTAGTTTTTAGTAAGACATAGTGTGGTTTAAGTGCGGCGGTCGTATATAATAAATTTTTAGGAGTGGCTCACAATTTGGTATTAAAGTTAATGTTTTCTTAAAGCGTCTACTTTTCTAGAAGTAAACATTTGTTTTGTGTCGCCGCGAATGGACTCATACCTGTAAATAAGACCATATGTACGTATGTAAACACGAGTATTGCCGACCCACGTTGCAGAGAAAGTGCGAAATTTTGTGCGAGCTAAAATATTAACCGACACTGAAAATGTCAGTTGAATTTTGCCGAAACCAGTAAAGACGGTTATAAAGCGGCAAGGGAGTACGTAAGTTAAGTGACACAGTAAAATAGAGTGGAAGTGGTGGAAAAGTTGTTGCTTTCCATACACCAAAAAACAAATATATAGCGATTTAGCTGCAGCCACTTAAGTAAGTGACGCGTTGTACCTCTGCCTGACTGTCGGCACTAATTTTACCTGCCAAAACGATAAGGATAATAAACGAGAACCGAGCTGAAGTGCATTAAACAAAAAGTGTGAGCAGCAAATGATAGTCATAGCAAATTGAAAACAGTATTTTAATAAAAAATAAAAAAGTCGTACGAAATAAGAATACAGAAAATTGTTTGTCACCAACCAGCTCTACTGGTATCCTGAGATTTGCTGACATTATTGCTGATTACAAAAAAAGTTTCCTTGCCACAAAATAAGCAAATACCCGGCAATAAAACAAAAGCAAAGGTAGTTTAACCATTCAGCCGTTAAAAGCAAACAGCCAAGCCAGCAAAATCACAAAATCATCAATGTGTAATATCCACCTATGCACGCATTGTCGGCACTCGGCTGCTACTGATTGTTTGCGGTTGCATTTACTTGTCGTAAATCACGCAAACCAATTGTCGTAGACATTGCGCCAGACTGCATAAAAAGCGAAAAAGCGTAGCGAGCGAAACAGTGAATCACAGCAAACGGCAAAAGAAAAGTTATCGACTTCCAACAGTCCGTCAATAAAAAACGTTGACAAACTGCATGCAACGTTGCGACGTGGAATTACATATAAAACAAACAACAACAAATCAAATAACAAGCGGAATATTCAACAGCGTAAAAAGCGCGTACTTTGCATTTATTTTGGCGTTTCGTCGGCAACATGGCGGGCAATATCGTCAAATGGTGGAAGCATAAAATACTCGGCGGCTATAAACAATTCTCAGGTAAATTGCGATTTTCTTTTAATACACGTACATCTATACATATGTACATACGCACTTATTTGTTTATGTAGGTGGTTGTATTTGAAATATGTTTATACACATATGTACTTATGCATATGCAACTCTGAGCGCCGTTCGGAAGAAGATGCGAAATATGAAAGTTAAAGCAATATTAACTTATTAGCGCGGGGTCCTACAGAAAAAATTTCCTTTCAACTTAGTTTTAATATCTGAATTTGAATTCAAATAATTTTCCGCGCTCTGATTTTAACAATTAACTACTTCACACATGCAACTTTTCCTATCAATTTCCTTAAGTAAGTGGCCGTAAACTAAACTCAGAAATCCTTGTTATATTTGGTACTGACTTGTGAGCAACGTCAAAGTGAAAATAAGAACATGAGTAGGGAATGATCTGTATCCCAATTATGGATCATTCAGAGGCCTGAAAAAAGTCGCTTCTATGAATTTATATTTCTAGAATAAAAAAAACTGTAAAAACTTCGTTCAAAGAGTATATTTTCTAGCATACCACTTAAAAATGTTGAAAAATTGCAGAGGAATCCATGTTTTAGTGGAACGTGTTACAGCAGATACCGTCAATTGGCGTGCAAAGTATAATCCGTAATTCTTATATGTAATAGTGAACATACATTTTTTGTTAATTTATATACTTTTTCAATCTATGTGAACCTCAGAAAGCCCACAAAAACTTAAAATTAGTAATTTTTCCAATGTTTGAGCTTTGAAATCGATTTTTATCGTAAAATTTCTGCATATAATCTATTACCTGAAATCCTTTTTGCACCACTTCAAAATAGAAGCTAATATTTTACATATACGTTTTTAGATAGTTTTGGAAGAGATTAAGGTAAAAAATCGTTTTTTTTCGATTTAAATGATCCGACCCCGTTAAATTATAAAAACGTATGTTGTTAAGTTATTTTTAACAAAGAAACGTAATCTACTGTGGTCGATCGGATCTCAGAAAAATGACAATGAGAGGTGAAGCATCGAGAGCCTTCATCGGCAAAATTTCAAATTTCGTGCTTCATTATGCGAACGGTACATTCAGTGATTCTACCTCTTAGTCGGCAATTACAGTCACCTGATGAGAATCTTGCTGAAGCAATGAGATTAGCAGAAGACGGTTCAAAGGATTTTTAAGAAAGGGAGCAAAATGCAGATAAAAACAAACATTTGACCTTCGAACACGTTGAAGAAGCATTTAGTGAACTAGACATAGAAAACAAGTTACCACGATACAGTTGTCCCCAAATGTATCGTTTTAACCTCAAAATGAAGGACCCTATAGAATAATATCGTATTGCATTTTACATTCCTTTTCTCGAGACTCACTTGAAGGTTTTAAGACCATAAATTAGTTTAGGATAATTTTTGTGCTTTGTATCCAAATTACGATTTTGATGAAGAAAAAACTGAAGAATTGAAGTAATCGAATGCTTGAAAGAAAAATTCTTCATGGAGGTTAAGATGTGGATGCTCTCGACGCGTTAGAACTTGTAAACGAAACATCTTTCCCAAATGTTTTTAGGATTTTGCGTATACTCGCACTTTTGCCCGTGTCAATAGCAAACACCTGAATGAAGGTTTTCGGCTTCCTAAGATGTGTAAATATTATAATTATAAATAATTAAACAATATTATCACAAAGAATAGGACAAATAGCAATCACGTGCAAAAACATTAGCAACTTGTCCAAAAACCAAATTAAACTCATTTATGATCGACAAAGTAGAAAACTACAAAAATTTTGGCGAAAAGCAAGCAAACACAGGTCATTATTTAGGTTTATGGATATATACTACGTACATACATATGTGCTCACATATTGAAATAATATACAAACATTCAAACCTTGGCATGTTTCTTCGAACAAAAAATTATTCAAAAATCTTCAGAAATATAAAAAAGACAAATAAAAGAGAAGTAATCACTGCCGCGGACCTTACACGCCGACAATGCCATTCGGTTTAAGTATGGTATACGTCGACGAGTCAAAATTTGCGGCGCAGCATGTTGGAGCATTCACCAAATGTTAGAACATCGATTGATCATTTGCTTTTGAAAACGCCCTAACAATAACAACCAAACAGTTTAAAAAGCAGAGGAAAAACACCGAAAATATCAAAAACAACGACGAGCCTGACAAAAACATGCAGACATACACGTCTCGTACAAGTAAATTGAAGGCAGCGAGTTTTTTCTTCATTATGCTACCACTTCCTATGCGGTCGTTACAGGTCACAGGCATACAAATGTACACACGTTTGAACATTTACATAACTAAATCACGTATAGATAGGTATATGTGTGCCCGATCATGATGAGTTTTTTGTTTGGTATTTCGATTTTATGTTGCCTACCATTTCGTATAAATATGCTGTGGTTTATAAAATAAAAATAGATGAAGTGGTGGCAGCGAAACAATGAACGACAGCCTAATAAGACAGTGCACCACCGAGTCGCCGATGCCGCCAATATCAGATCTCGATACATACATACTTTCACTCAATTAAAGTACTGTAAACAACAACAATCGCCTATCAAGCGCATTGCAGGAAGAAGGGAGTACAAAAACATTTTGTCGAGCGGCGTGCTTGTGAAAATTTACGGGTATGTGGCGCAAAAGAACATGCAGAGAAAAGTAAATTATAAATGAAAAGATCGCCGAAAAGGGGAAATGAAGATAGATCAAATCTTTTGTTGTGTGTTTTTATTATTATTCTTGTTTTTTCTACGCACTCCATTCTCTTTTTCGGTTTTTATGTTTTGAGGCGAATACTCATCTCCGCGATCAATTTAATTAAGAAAGCCGCTACTTGCAACTTCACAGATCGACAAATTCTCCTTAATTATTTTACCAGGTCTATGCGGGACTAGAGTTCAATGAGAAGCCGCCGGCGTGGCAACTGTGAAAGTAAGGTACTATCGTGGATAGTTCTCAGTTTATATGCACTCACTGAGACCTTTTTCAAGCAATACGAAATTATGCGCAAACGAATAGCATAGCAAAACAACAAAATTATATATGTACATATATAAAAAACAACCAAATATGTATATATGTACATATATCGTAGACAAAAGAAACAATTCCTAAAAGGAAGCAGCCAAAGATGGCAATGAAAATGAAAAGAAGAAAAAGACCAAATAGTGAAGAAAGCAAGACGGAATACAAAAACAATAAAAATGTGTGGATAACACTGGAAGACAACAATAATGTATGTATGTAATAAGCGACAGGTATAACGAAATGCGTTGGAAAACACTGGTAGAATCCAGATACTACTGGCACACATTGTTAAAACGCCGAGACTAGCTGGTTAGCATATTGCACTTCAAATGCACTCAAAAAGTATAGGAACAGAACATATATACTTACTTACTTGGCTATACTTATTATTGAGAGCTAAATTTAATTGTAAGAGCATACTTATCGTAACAATAAAGCAATTGCTAATATTTTATTGCGTGGTTCAGTAAGAAGACACGCTAAATTCTTCTGTTGGGAACAAGCTAGGTCGAAACAATAGTTTCAAAACCATTCCCACGACAGATACGGATATGTAAATGGGATAGATCCGCATTTTTATTCGACCAAAGCCTATTAACTCCGTAGCCGTCTTAAAATGACTTTGGGAATGTTGTCTTCCGCTACAACAAAGCCAACTATTTGAAAAAGCATTATGGTGCCAGACGTACTTATTTAATTGCAATGGACCCGAACTAATTTTATCAACATGAAAACAATTAAATTTTTCTGCTACAACAACCACAAGCACATGAAATGGAAAATAATATGGAACGAAGTTGGGTTCTATATTTCACAGAAGGTTTTAAACTCAAGAGTTGTAAGACAATGTCATTATATATTGCCACACATATCTACGAACACTTCTATGTCAAATAGTTACCAAAAATAATTGTATACCCAACCAGATATATTAAGTATTATACACAGTCGTAGGCAAGTAAAAAATCTGCAGTTTGAAATTGTATCGATTTGACTTGTTAAAATCCAGATAATCTTTACAACATTAAAAAGAGATATATTTTTCAGAAAGCCTTCACTTAAAAACCATTTTTCTAGGGTCCGCAAAAACTTTTAATAATAACAAAATATAAAGTGCCAAATTGCAACTAATATCAATAGCCGTACACACGCTTAAAAGCGGGCTTGATAAGGCCGATAGTCTCACAGAAAAGCCATTTCAAGCTGCAACATTAAATGTGAAGAAAACAACAAAACAAATACCTCCTCCTTCTTGTTGCACATTTTGTTGGCATTCGGCGTCTCTATAGTGAAGTTAAATACCGAAAGAGAAATAATAATAACAGCGCGCATGCGCGCGGCACTCACAAAAACACAAAGCGGCCGCCAAACGTGAATGCAGGCTACGCGTCTACAGTGCTGCCAAGCCCGAGACGAACGCTACATTTGCTGTGCGCCGCCAGTCAAGCCAGCACTCAGCCAACCAACCAATGAGCCACAAACGAAGAGCAATGAAACAACAAAATAAGACAACAATAATAATAACAGCTGCAGCATAAACCCGTTCAAACAATCATCTGGCCGACAATTCAACTGCTTCTTGCCCCCACCGCTTTGGTTTCCCCATTACACAAAATGCATATTTTTTCTTGTCCGAACTTTACTCGTACGTGCAGTAGAAGTTTTTCGTGCTTGCATGTCGGCGAGCAGCGTTTGTGAGATGGCGGCATTATTTTCAAGCTGCCGCTTGTGCGATCGTCTACCAAAGCCAGCAACACCACGAAATACACCATCACCGCCTTCACCAGCACCATCGTCATCATCATCGTCACAACTGCACCGCCAAAGTCGCCTGCAACGTTGGCGGGTCGGCTGTTTTTATTTTTGTGTGCCGCAGCAAGCGAGTCTTGCTGAATTGCGCCTTTCGTAGCGAGGTGATGCCGCCGACTACGAGATGCCGATGATTATAATGCCTCAGTGCCCG